CTAAGCATCACGGTTGTATCTTTTCACCATACATCGCCAATCTGTTTGCTGAGTAAATAATCAGAGAAGCTGAATTAGGAAGAAAATGCACCATCAGGATTTGAAGACGTCTCATGAACAACTTGTGATAGTTAGATGACACAAACTTGTTTGCTGAAAGTGAAAAGGATGTGAAGCCATGACAGATTGCATGATAGAATTTTGCAAGATCAATGACTTCTTCCTTGTAAATAATTTTTCAATTACATAAACACATTGGGCCTTGCTTGATGCAATACAAAGGAATCAAATCAACTACTTCTGTGGAATGAAGTCAGAGAATCTCACTATCGTCAGTCAAAACAAGGTCAGGGGCTGATTGTGGAACAGATCAACAATTGCTCATGTGCAAGTTCAAGTTGAAGCTAAAGAAAATTTAAACAAATCCACGACAGTTAAAATACAATCTTGATGATATCCTACCCCGATTTGGAAACCATCTGAAGACCAAGGTTGATGCACCGAACACTAATGACTGAAATCAGAGGAGTCGTGGAAGGACATCATGCATGAAGGAGGCAAACGGCCATTCAACAGACAAGGCCAAATGAAGATGAGAAGAGACTAAAACTTGTTCTAGAACACGGAGAAGCTAAAACTAAGGGAAGAAAAGATAAAGTGAAAGAACTGGACAGAAAATCTCAAGGGGCAGCTCCCAAAGACAAAGCAATATAATGAAATGTGCAAAGTCTTCGAGTAAGAAAACTAAAAAGAAGAAAGCGCTCAGCGTAGCTCAAGTGGGAAAAACAACAGAAAATCATTCAAACCTCAAAGACTGCAGCCCTCAGAATGGATTTCAGGGGAAGAGCAACCGCCCATTGAGGACAATTGCTTAACAATACTGAATCTATCGAACCCAAGGGTAGAATATGTCTGGTGCCATGTTCCTAATTGGACTTGTTTGACCTAGTTTCTTTCCAACCTTTGGTGACCCAGTTGTGTGCTACAGACAACTGGGACGTTAGACTGTTGTTTCGAGGCTCGCACCATCCTTCATAGGCCACACCAGGACTCAATCTAGAAAGCCCAATAAGCAAGGCTTTATCTCAAACTCACCTGTAGCCCTTGACTTAGGAACTCCCTACTCTGAGGAGCAGGTGATTGCTATTCCAAGGGCACAGTATTGGCTGATGCTGGAATTCTGTTTGGATCTCTAGCATTGAGGGTGCCCAGAATATGGTGGCCCTGAACTACCATACACTTACTGTTTTAATGCCCTCCTTGCTTTATTATGATATGTATTAATCTAGTAGGCATAGCTCTACCATTTTGAATATTAAAGTTTTGCCCTACCACCAATCCCATTGTTTGTGTAAATAGTGTCCAGTCACTGAAGAGTTTAACCTGTACACGTCAACAATTCATGTATTTCAGTTCATAGCTGGCCTATACTCAATTTCCTTTTCTCAACCGTGTTTAAAACTCTATACCATTGGCTAAATTAATGACACTATCAATAGAATTACCTTATGCCTCAGGGGAATGATTGATAATGCTCTATATCATAAAATGACAATCATGTCTCTAAAGTGAACCAAAGATACATATAAACCAGAGATACAGGAATACACTTTGAACTCACACTTAATTCTACCCCCAATTTAAGGACAATTAGTTCTTGTGGCATAGCCCGGCTTGATGCTCACCCCATGAAGGCCTCACGGAAGCCATGGGTGCTACAGCAAAGTGTGGTGAAGAAACTAGATGGTGCCCGGTTATCAGAAGGAATAGTGTCTGGGGTCTAAAAGACTTGTTTTAAAACAAGCAGCCATTTAAGTGAGGCATCAACTAAGTCCACCTGGAAGAGGTACACCAGCCGGTGCGATAAGATTGTAAATAATAAAATCCAAATTTGAACCATTCAGGAAACACCAAAAGAAGATATAAGGAATTAGAGCAGTGGTTCTCAACCTTCCTAATGCCGTGGCCCTTTAAAATAGTCAGTCCCTTGTGTTGTGGTGACCCCCCAACCATAAAATTATTCTCGTTGCTACTTCATCACTGTCATTTTATTACTGTTAACTCATCATTGCAGTACTCAGATTCTCAAATGAAAACTACAACAGCCTGGGTGTGTTTTCAAGTGTCCTGGAACACAGCGGCTTGAGAGCTGTTCTTGTTGCATGTTAGAGATGACCAGCAACCTGGGTGCCATTAGTCACAAGGGCGGCCTCTCCCACTCCGCAGGCCCTTAGCACTTCCCTCCGGCTGGAGGAGTGATATGTGTGTGTGTAGTTGTTGAAGTTCTCTGGGTGATCTTACTGGAGCCCGGGAGGTTTAGTGGTCATGCACTGGGCTGGGATCTGCATGGTTGGGGGTTTGAAATCAGCAGCAGCTCCTTGGGAGAAAGAACAGGGTTTCTGCTCCTGTACACAGTCAGCATGGACTCCATGGTGGTGGTTTTTTGTTTTTTGGGGGGAGGTGATCTCAATGCACAGCCCAGGTCTGAGAACTAGTGTGTTAATGAGAGCGACTGGACACACGGGCAGCGGTTCCTGAACCTGTTATTAAAAGCAGGCCTTCACTCCGATCAAACACCTGCCAAGAGTATACATGTTCACCCTCGATAAACAGAATCAGCGACGATTTTAAGATCTCCAGAATGAACCTGTTCAAAGCCCTTGTTAAAGACAACAGCAAAGCGGGTGAAGGGAGACATCAGACAGTGTAAGATATGACAAAGTAATAATAATGTATAAATTATCAAGGGTTCATGAGGGAGGGGGAGCGAGTGGGGAAAATGAGGAGCTGATGCCAAGGGCTCCAGTAGGAAGCAAATGTTTTGAGAAGGATGATGACAACAAATGTACAAATGTGCTTGACACAGTGGATGGATGGATGGATTGTGATAAGAGCTGTACGAGCCCTTAATAAAATGATTTTTAAAAAAAGATAGGCCAAGGAACCAAGAAGCGGGGGAAAAGCTTCTTGTTTGAACCTCATGTTCTGTCTCCATCTGCTGGCTATCCTGCCACATTGCTATTATTTACCTAAGCATTCTGGGTAGCCAAGACAGAGATGCTTCTTGCAATTGAAGACAAGTTTACAAAAAGAAATCAACAGGGCCAAGGTGAGCTGAAGCCTTCTGAGTTTTACATTTTATACACAATATGCTCTTAAAAATGACAATAAGTTCTAGGAGCCATACAATGATTTTATAGTCACAATATGAACATTATAAAACGTGTTAGGGGTAACTTGTAAAGATATTATATATTGCTTAATTACACAAGGAAGTTGGGGACGAACTCTCTGGGGGTTATTTGAGGTCTCCTGGCATGTGTGTAGAGCTTGAAAAAGCACACTTAACATTGTTAACAAAAACCTGGAAAACAGAAAAAAATGAGGAGCTGATACCAAGGGCTTAACTAGAAAGCAAATGTTTTGAGAATGTCCAAAGGTGCCTGACATACAATGGATGGATAGATTGTGATCTGAGTTGTACGAAACCCCAGTAAAATGATTTAAACAAAAGAAACTTCCCCTCCAATTTTACCTTCTCTTAGTACTAAGCAAGCATTCAAATTCACTGCCATTGAGTCAGTTCTGACTATTAGCACGGCCCTGCAGGACAAGGTAGATTTGCCCCTTTTCTGTTTTACTGGGAGCTCTTACAGATAATATTCTATAGTTCAATTAGACTAAGCATAATTATGCAATTGCTGCCACCATCATTTTCAAAACATTCTTTCGTCTTGAACTCTTTGATCATCAGCTCCCCTCCCCCACACCCCGTACTCCCCAGGAACCCTTATTTTATATAGATATACAAAGCCGTCTCTTACACCTTCTAATACATCTGCCCATCTGTCTACAATTGTTATCCGTTCCTCTTGAGTGGGGTTATAGTCATCATTGCTATCGGTTTGCCCAAGACAAACACTCTTGGCGGGAGGGACTAGAAAGCTGGTCTTTTCCCCGCAGAGCAGCTGGTGGTTTTGAACTGCTCATCTTGTGAGCGGCCCAACTCTTTTAACCACCAGGCTGATACAAATAATGCAACAGAGTTTCAGCGTTTCCCTAAGTTCACTGGCACCGGAATCAAAGAGCCTGTTCTAGCGCAACTCTGCCACCACCTCGTGCTGCACTCTTGGTCACTTACGCTGGTTTTCAGTCACTGACGCTGTAAAATGGGGTACGGATAGGGAACAACACCAGACGTCGATGGGAGGGAGTGCGGTGTATTAGGAGCCAGGTGCAGAGTTTGGCAAAGAAAAGGCAGCCTCCACTCCCGGCAACTTGATGTGGTCTCATCAGTATAGTAGTGATTGTCTTTTTCATGTCATATAAATGGGAGCACACGTTATATGGCCTTTTAAACTGGCTTCTCCCACGCAGCATAAAGCCTCTGGGATCCATCCATACTGCTGTGTCTAGATAGTAGTTAATGTAATGTTTGTTCTAGTGTTGATACACGTTTTGCTAATCCGTTCACCCAATGAAGGAGATTGCACTTGGTTGCTAGATTGCGGGGGCTTTCAGAATTGGTACCAAGGAGCTCAGGGCAATAGCGATCTGTAAGGAGCCCTGGTGGTGCAGTGGTTAAGGCAGCTCAGCAGCTAGCCGAAAGGTCAGTGATTCCTATCCACCAGCAGCTTTGCGGGACAGATGTGGCATCCGCTTCCATAAAGGTTTCCTCTTGGAAGCCTCACGGGGGCAGTTCTGTCTTCTGGGGCAGTGATGGGTCAGACTGGACGCGATGATAGCGGATGTGACTTGGAAGCAACCAGCTCAACGTGAGCTGGCACTCTGCTTGTGGCTTTCTGTCCATGGCACCGCGATAGACACAGGAGACCGCTGGGGCGCCATTAGTCATTGGTTCACTAGAAAACAGCTCCCAGAGACATAATCACGAGCAACGGCTGCTGCTGGGCCACCTGGCCCACGGTGACCTCACGTGCAACAGCCCGAGAAGCTGCCCCCTCCACCCCCACCTTCCCCCGTCGTCCCGGTGACCCGTGTGTCCGCGTCCATGGCTGTGGCTGCAGTGCCAATCCACCTCCCCGGGCCCCCGCATCCTGCTGGCCCTCTGCTTCCCCAACAGATGCCCCCTCCAGGGCAAGTGAGTATTTCCCAGGTTTTCACGGGCTAATTTTTGAAGTGATCACCAGGCCTTTCTTCCGAGTCTGCCTTGCTCTGGAAGCTCTGTTATCATGGGTGGCCCTGCCGGTATTTGAGATACCAGCAACGCTGTCATCCTCAAGCCACCTCAGTGTGACAAACTGACAGATGATTCCTACATGTTTTTTTTTCCTTCTGAGACCAAATCCCCTACACCACACAGCCCGGCTCCTCAGCTGCTGGTGACACAGGTCAGGGGCTGTGACCACTGCCTCCGTAGTGGAGCCCGTTTCTAAAGCCCCCTTTGATAAGACGTCAGGTAGCTGCTAAGTCACTCCAAAGTAAAGGGGACCTCAAAAAGTCTGTGGAGATGGACTCCGAGAGGCGGGATTTCCCCACATCCTTTCTGAAGCTCCCCGACAGTCGCTGCTCGAGCGCCGGCCTCCCTAGTCCACACTGCACACGCGGGAAGAAAGGGTGGGCCAGTCACCCACTGGTTAATTCCAGAGGTGGCAGATGTGGCCCAGCTGCGTCTGTATGAACAGCCAGGATTTCCTCCAGGTAGCTCACAATGGCCCTTTGAGCCGTGTCTCCCGCCAGTGCCTGGACGCTGCCTATGTGCTGCAGGGCCTGTCTGACCATTTGGTCTCTTTCCTGGGGGCCAGGGGTCATCCTGGTGTCATCCCCCTCAGCTCCTGATTTTAAAAACTGTAGGATATAGGACCGGACCATGTTCCCACTCAGTTCAAGGGCTTCCTGGATGCAGGGCAGGTCTGAGGCACTGGCCAAGCTCAGGAGGTGAATCAGTGCCCGGCAGATCTGGGTTCGCAGGCTGGCACAGTATTTGAACTCCAAAAAATCTGTGGTGTCCTCGCTCTTCTGCAAGGCTGTGACCAGCGCGGTCCAGATCCGAGTGTACTGCTCGACGGAGCCGTACTGTGCTCTCGAGCCGGGGCTGGAAAGCGCAGCGGCGGATTTGATGCGCACTTTGAAGTTCTTACATGACGTCACAACCGACGTGAGGGCGTGGTAGGCCTGGGAGGTCCACAGGGCTGTTCCTACAGAGAACACAGTCGTTACAACAGGTGAAGCCTTAGAATATGTGGTGGGCGGGGAAGGCAGGGAGTAGACACGTGGTGTTCAGGCCAGTCAGTCTCTGTCTTTATTCTTACAAGAATCCTGAAGCATCAGCGGTGAGAGACTGACTGGGACCAGTGCACCTGACCCCGGACCCACACCCCAGACCAGCCAGTGACCCTAAACAGGGCCTTTGGTGACGCAGGAGAAGGCTTCTTCTTCCCCTGGGATGATGGTGTGTTGGGAGGAGGTGGTTTGGAGCGGGGAGCAGGGGCTGAATGGTCGTCCCACCGCCCTCTCAGGTGGGTGCTTCTGAGCAGTGTGCGACCCACACAGCTGCCTGGCTGTGCCGGCAAAAAATACCCCCTCCTCTTCCGCAGTCTCACCCCAAGATTAGCTTCCCAAGGCAAATATTTCATCCCACAGACAGAGAAGACTTCTAGTTTGGGGAAGAACTGGGCTTCTGTTTCCTCTCTCCCTGACGGCTCTGCCACTGGATTCTTGCCCGTCCCTCAATCCGTCTGCCTCCTTAAATCTCCTGCTGCACCCTTTCTTCAGGGCAACGTGTATCTCTTGCCAGTAACCAGAAAGCCAGGGTCAGACAGGCTGAGGTGGGAGACAGCCAGGGAGGTTCCCTGGCTCCCAGGGCTTCTGGGCTCTCCAACAAGCAGCCATCTACCTCAGTGAGCTCCAACATGCTCTGGGCAAGGGCATTTCCTGCGAGCAGACCTGAGCTGACTCGGCCCCCTGCTCCTGGCTGTCGGGTCTGCCCAGCCACTTACAGAGTGAGAGTCCCCTGGCTCTGCTGGCTCAGAATGGCTGTCTCCTTTCTGGGACACGCTTACGCATCAAAGCTTGCCAGAGACAAAGGTATCAGGCAAATGCTGCCACTTAGGAGCAAGCAATTTGGAGGTTATGATCCATAAGCAAGCAGCTTAGCCACCGAGTGATCTAACAATGTGCACATCAATTAGAGACAGATGGGACATTCCAATTCTCTACCAAGTGCCCATAAGGGATTTGTACTTTCTTTATCTCACGGGGGAGACAGGCTGGGCTTTCGACTCCCGTCAACAGTCACAGCCTTGGGAACCCACGGGGGGCGCTATGAGTTAGCACTGACTCCATGGCAGTTGAGTTTGGTTTTGGTGTTTGATGCAAAGAGCCCCAGGAGGGCAGTGGGCTTTGCACTGGGCGGCTAATGGAAAGCTCAGTGGTTGGAACCCACCAGCTGTTCCACAGGGGAATGAGGAGGCAATCTGCTTCCTTAGAGATTTCGCCTCAGAGACAAAATGGGCAGAACAATTCTACTCTGTCCTACGGGGCCTAGGTGTTGGAATCAGCTCAAAAGCAGTTCCTTGATCTCATGCCACGTCCCCCTTTATTTCGGTCTGATTATTTAAGTAATACATGTCCATTAAAGAAAATTCGTGAGCTCTCATTTTATTATGGACTTTCAGCAGAAAAAGTCCTGCTCATTTTCCGACCCATAGGCAACCTCTGTTAATAATTAGGCCACTTTCCTCTCTGTCTTTTTTCCTACCTACCTCTTGAGATGACACTAGAAAAGTTCATATCCAGCTTTAGTTGCTTAACACGGAAAGTATTTCCTCAGATAACCAGAGACTTTTTGTAAGCATCATTTTAAATGGCAAGAAAATATCCCAGGACACATTAAGCATTCTGCATCTGTGTGTGTGTGAATGTGCATGCACAAATACAAACCACGACTTACTACGCATCCCTCTGAAGCCATACGTTTCCCTGTTGCCAACGCTGCGATAAGCATGACCGTGACAAGCACTTCCACCTAGACTGGGGCGTGCGCCCAGAGGAGCCTCCTTACCTAACGGGAGAGCAGGGTTTTTAAAGACGTTCCCCATTGCGTAACACGCGTTCCAGCGGACCTTCATGGCGGCCTCAACCAGAACGGTAGAAATCAGGGCCTGGATGGCCTCTTCAATGATTTCGGCAAACCTGGGTTTCTCGATGTGAGACGGCCGCAGAAAGTGAAGCAAATTTCCCAGAGCCCGGACTGCATTGCTTTTGACCTAGAATGAAACAGGAGGCGATGCCAACACTGAACGGGTGTGTAGTGGATCCCTTTATCTCCTGAGTCTACCTGCACCTCCTTGCCCCGCCCCCACCCCCTATGCAGGGATACGCGTGCAATACCCTCCGTGTCTCCGGGAGAAATACTGGCTTCATTGGGCTTCTACCTTGTCTTTGTCCTTGGATGCTTCTATAGCGGATCGCAGCATTTTCAGGAGCAGGAGGCCAGAAAACTCTTCCTGGAAACTTGGGTCTGGGGTTTCCCTGCTCCACCCCGAATCGAGCCAAGCATGTAAAGAGGAAAGATCCATTTAAGCACACACATGAAAAAGATATGCTCACGTAGGACAGCTGTAAAAACCTCAGGAAAACGGCTCCCAGATCTGTTCAGATCAAACAGGGAGCGCCATCGTTTCGACGTGGTTAAACAGCACGTCCACATCCAGAAGGGTGTGTAAAGGGCAGTCTCGAAATGGGAGTTTGTGCACAAGGATGTCCACTGGATACGAGCACACATTCCACGTTCACGAGGAGGGAGATGTTACATCATTACCGCACAGGCAGATGGTGCAATATGAAGTAGGATGTTTCCAGGAAACACGAACATGCTTGCACGTATGTGAACGTTAAGTGACAAAATGCGGGGCACTTGGTAAGAATATCTTTAGAGGGGAGCTAAGGGGCCAGGGTAGGGAAAGGCTTTACATGGAAAATCCCTTTGCATTACTTAAAAAATGTTTCAGCCCGCGGATATGTCACTGAAAACACACACGCACACCCTACATTTAGAAATGTAGGACCACCACTGTAATGTGGACACCCTTGTAGCAACAAAGAGCATTTTATATTAAAACAAAAGTCAGAAACCAACCGACTGCCATCACGTCAATTCTGACCCCCAGCGACCCTCTAGCCTGAGAGTCTAAGGTCCCCGAGATTATACATTTGCAGTGGGAGCAGGTCTCCTCTTTGCCCCGTGCAGAGACTGGTGGCTGGTTTGAACCTCCGACCTTGCAGTTTGCAGTAGCCCCACAGCGCTGCCAGGGTGCCTTTGTGTTTTATATAGATACGTCTTCATATATTAGTGCTCCTGGGGGGCACGATGGGTAAGCGTGCTCAGCCACAAATGGAAATGTTAGCAGGTCACACCCGTCCTGAGGCACCCAAGAACCAGGCCTAGCGGTGTGCTTCTGGAAGTGCAGGGCTTTGCGAGCCCCACGGAGCAGCGCGGCTCTGCACACCGGGGGTCCACAGCCAGCACTGGCTGGGCGGTAAGCAACACCTGACTAGGGTCCTACCATCTCTCAGGAGCAGCTTGCCGGCACCATTACTTGAGGAGATAGGACACGTGGTAGGAGGCTGCACGTCCTAACACGAGGAACACGGGTAATTCTTTTCTATCCAGGACCAGAGACAGCTCCGTGGGACCTCCGCCTCCAAAGTCACCCACTAAGAGCCTGAGCTAAGCCACCTACATGTTGACAATCAGCGTGTCGGTCAGGTTTCCCAGGGACCAGGCTGCCTTGGCCCGGACGTTCAGGGACTTGTCTTGAAGTGACATCAGTATTGCATTTGCAGTGTCTGCAACAAATATGACATCCTAGAAGATACACAAAACAAAAAGACCAGTTGCTTGAGAAGTTCACCTTGGCACCTTTAGAATTCTATTTATTTCCAGATAACGCTATAACCGATTACCACTAATTTTTAATAGGAAATAGAAACTCATTTCTTCAACCAACCGATTCTTCTTCTAGTTTATTACAGTTTGGACACTCATTAAAATCCCCTGGCTTGGGTGAGAGCATTTGGATTCTGGTCTGAAGAGAATATCTTGTAACCTGGGGCATGGTGAGGACCAGTCTCAATCTAACCCTCCCAAATCCAGTCCTCTCATTCCCATCCCACCATCGTCACTCCAGCCACCCATGCCACTGTCTCTCCTCCACCCTAGACACCCACAGCTGGGTCAGAGCTCACAAGGTAAAAGGACATCAACATCCTTCATCTTGCCAAATAGGGAGTCTACATGGCACCCTTACTTTCTGACCCACTAATTCTTAATGCCCCACTGGTTTTAATGATTTGCTGGAATGATTCACAGACAGCATGGGAGAGCACACAGCTACCCATTTCTAATAGCTGGAAATGATACAAACGAGGAGACCCAGAGGATGCGGTCTGGGAGGGGTCCCAGCATGAAGCTTCCGTGTCCCAAAGAGGTGTTATCCTCCCTGAGAGGAGCTATTCCCACTAGCCAGGAAGCTTACCTGAGCCGTAGGCTCCTGAGGCTACTCAGCATCAGGACCCCAGCTGGGCCCTCGAGGGCTGCTCAGTCCTCACTCACTGGCCTCAAATGTGGTCCCGCTCTCACGGACCAGAAACAAAGCCAAACCGCCTCCTGCAAGTATCTCTAAGTGTTCTGTGCTTGGACTGATTTCTACCTCAGGAAGTAATATTCTAACGGCAAAATGCATTCCTAAGACACATCGTATTTATTATATACTTCTGGGTGAGTGCGAGAAAAACCACCCACTGCCATCCAGTCCATTCTGTCTACCAGGCACGCAAGGCCCCAGATCTGGTGCCAACTGCAGATAGGTGAATTAGACACATTATGCTATAGACAGTCTAGTAGCAATTAGGAAACTGGATTCCAAAGCAGTTTAATTTCTGTTTATTTCCAATTCAGGAGCTCCCGCTAAACTACACCCACTGCCATCAAGTCATTTCTGACTCAGCGACCCTACCGGGCAGCGCTGACCTGCCCCGGTGGGCTTCAGAGACTGGCACTCTTTACAGGAGTAGAAAGCCCATCTTTCCTCCAGAGACTGATTGGTGGTTTCAAACTGCCAACTTTGCGGTCAGCAGCCCAATGCCTAACCCACTGCGCCACCAGGACCCCAGGGGTGCCCCAGCCTTCACAGAAAAGCAGTGCCGTGGTTTCTAAAGCAGGGAGAGGAGAGCCCGCTGGGCGGTGCTGACCTGCCTGAGACAGGGGAAAAGCACGTAGACTCCCAGGGCCCGGGACGTCGCCGCTTTCACCAATCGGTTCTTGCTGTCATTCAGGCCCAGCAGCACGGTGATGCACAGGACCTGCCTGTCATTCTGCAGGGAGGCAGGGCGAGAGGAGGGGTGAGCACGTGCCTGAAAGATCAGTAGCCGAGTCCCCGTTCAGCAGCTGAACTGCTGTGACCTTGAGGCTATCTCTGGCGAAGAGCAGGGGCTCAGTTCAGATTCAATCGCTGCCTGAGCACCCACTGTCTACCGGGCACACGGAGTGGGTCAGCACGTTTAATCTTTACTACTTCATCGAAGCGGCCCTCTTCCGACAGATGCACATGCCTCTGAGAACTGAAGCAAACAAGCTGACTGAACACCGTATGTGTTGGGTCCTCAGCACAGCGTTCCCTCGCTTCTCGCATGATCCCTAGTTTACAAATAATAAAGCGAAAACTCAGAGACGGCAGGATAACCGCATCACAGTGGAAGAGCCAGGATTTGAACTTAGGTCTCTAAAGCTCCAAACCTCCCTGACTTTAAAACGTCAAGTGCTACTCCCACTTCCCCCACCTACCTTCTAAAGCACAGGAGAGAAAGACTTCACGGTTTAACTTTTAGTTTTCCCACGTGCCGCTTACAGAGATTCCAGGCAAGAAAACCCGCAAACACAATGAGCCCCGTTTCCTCAGACGTGAGGTTGCAGACCGGCTCAGAGTGACAGAGACTCAAGCCCAGACCGAGGAGGCTCGCGAGCATCAGCGAACGGTGAGAGAGTGCCCGAGCGTTACCGGCAGGATGCTGAAGGCCTCTGGCAAGATGGAGGACAGGGCGTCGCAGGCGCTCGCCTGCAGAGTCGGGTGCTCCGAATTCTGCAGGGCTCTGGGCAAAGGACCGGCCAGCATCATAGTCCAGAACGTCACCACCTGGAACAGCCCAAGAGACAACAGGTGGACATCCTCGACAACAAGCCCAGAGAGGAAATTTCTCCGCCCAGTCGGGGCTTTCCGTCAGCGCTTCCACCGGTGGTTCTTCCAGTGTCGAAAAGGGCTTGAGAAGGCAGCAGGGTGGACCCCTTTGTTCGGTGACTGGAAACTAGAGGCCGATGAAGCTGAGCGGCTACAGGGGCACCGGGGACCAGGAACAGCAGCAGCGAATGCATTTGGAGATCTTACTGCATTAGGCGGACACTGCTCTAAGCGCTTACACACCACACACATCAACTCATCCGAGTCCCCGGCCCAACCCAGCGATGGTTAGCATCAGCCCCACTTCTTCACACGAGGAAACTGAGGCACAACGAGAAGGTATCTTAATTGGCAGCGGCAGAGCTGCACCGCATCTGTCGGCTGGCACCCAACACGGGCTCCACACACTATGGGTAACAGAAGTGACCTGTAGTCACAGGAGTTTCCGATGAATCCTGAGAGGGTTAAAGGGAATTAACGTGCATCAGCCCTCATACGTGTTGACAGTTACATTTCATGCCATCTTCCAACTGCCCAGCAAGTGAAGATGACGACTTCTCTTTAAAATAGGGACACTAACTCTGCTCACAGCCACCCACCCTAGATTGACTCCCCTACCTCTGACTCCGGGGACACGGTTCTTCCCAAGCCTTGTCTGCCTGTAGGGCAAGGTGAATAGGCACTCTAGGCTGGTTTTAGGTAAAAGAAGTTTTGATTTGCTGGTTGTATGTTATACACAATCCTATCACACACTGAACTGCAAAGAAGCCGAAATCCAAAGAAAACCATCCGTGCTAGTCCCACATCATTCTAGATTCCAGACCATCATTGCTTGTCGCTGGATGACACCATGCTGTCTATATCACTTTACCACCGAGCCTCAAAACAAAGCTACGACGGCAGCACTGAGAAAAACTGAGTTCACATGGACTTACCAAAAGGACCGGTACTCTCTGACCGGCTGCTAAGGCAGCGTCTGCTTTATACTGCTGTATCAAGCCCGTGCCCAGTTCTTCCAGAAGCTGCCGAGGTGAAAAAGAAACCGATTTTCAAGACTAAGTATGAGAAC